GCAGAGCGTCTCTCTGTCGATTCGTTCTTTAACGAGCAGGACTCCTCTCTCCCTGTTCAGCTCGACGTATTCTTCATTGTCCTCTGTATATATTCGAGCTTTACCGGATTTAAGTCTTTTTACGTCAATCCCTAAATCATGAGCTATATTTCCGACTAAGGAACCCTTTGACATTTCCTCGGGGATGGAGTAAGTTACTTGGCCGACCACCGAGCTGAAGGACAATATCGATGTAAACCACAATACTTGCCATCTCATTGTTCTGCACGACATTTTATCCTCGCCAAATACTGATGATCCAAAGGCGGATTTGATCAAAAGTGATTAGTTTCCTTCGTGACGAAAAATTCCAGTTAAATTGATAATCCTGAACCTGACAGATATGGGTCGCAGCGCGGTTGTGTCCGTTTTTCTTCACTGACGGTTTTGTACTGAAGTGTGCTTTTCTTTCTCTGTTTATTGTATCAAATGAAAGAGGATGGCTCTACATTAGCCAACAGCGGCCCTGAGAGTCCAGAGTTGTACACTGCAGATAGTTCACACAATACAGTAACAACACTTATTAGCAAAGAGAAATAACAACTTTCAGTAATATCATAATTAAATATCTCAAATGTTTTTGATAAATCAATATCTTTCTGGCTAAACTGTACAATTGTACAATACATTGTGCAATACGTACTTATTATTTCAATACGCAAATGCAGTCACGATTAGATGGAAAAAAGGAAATTCCTTGTGTTTAATTTGTTTTTTGTCTATTGTTTAACTCTCTAACCATGCTTAGGCTTTCAAATAAATTCAGTAATAAATTAAAGAAAGGTTTATTTAAATTTGTATATACGAAAAATACAATCTAACCTTATGATGAATGAAAATGAAAGTGATAAATGTTTACAAAGTTAAAATACTTACTCTAAACAAATACGTATGAAAAAACGTAATACTGTGACTTCATATTCTACTGAAATGCCAATTTATCCCAAATCCAATGATCGAGATTAACTGATCACAGAGCAAAACGAAAAAAAAAGAATATGTCAATCTTAGGCAGCTAACAAGGACAGTCCTGAAATGTTGACATAAAGCCTTCCACTGAATTTGACGATCAAACATGTTTGCAGACGGATAGTAAGCAGCCTCACAAGGATAAAACCAATTGTCACCCTGGAGGGCACAGTTTGAAACGTCGTGGTTCTTCTTCAATACTATGAGAGTTTACAGAATACGATGTAGCCCTCCTCTAAGTTTTTTTAGTTGGTAAAAAAAAGTACTACCCGGAAAAATTAATGACTTTTGAAGCCCCGAACTTGAATATGAGCAAAAAGAAATGCAGGCATTATAGACTAAAAGTAAATGTAAAATATCAACTGTTACACTTATAGATCCTATCCACTCAGAAGATAGTGCCCTCCTTACGAAAAAAGGAAGCAGAAGAAGAAAACCAAAAGGCAGGACTCATAGGTAACTCAGAACAGCATTGCCATTTTAAAGATAGTGAAAGAAAGGCTGTCCTTGTGAAGCAAATTACTTGCATATTATCAATAAAGAGCATATTAAATTCTTCTAGGAGAGTAAGAGCTGACGAGGATGCAAAATGAAAATACTGCTCTTTTCTTTTTTTAATTCAAGAACACATAGTCGCTTCATGAAGTCGAAGCATTATGATGCATGAAAATTTTCAAGTTATTATGACATTAATTCTATGGAGGTATGAAAGGTTTTCTGCTCAATTTTGAAAAAAACAATGTCAGTACAGGCACAGGTTAGATAATAGACTAAAACATTGCTAACCTGTACAAACAAAAGACTAGAAAATATATATTGTGCACTTTTTT